GATTTAAAAATATAAACCTACCAAAATCCACTTATACTCTTTCATTATTAAAACTAACCCTAAACCCTAATCTAACTATAAAAAAAGCTAACAAAATGCACCCCAAAAAATTTTGATAATTTCATATTAAATTAATTAAAATTTCAAGCATCAGCCGCGACATATATTTTAAGGTATATTCTTTAGTGACATATGTTAGTACTTAATAAGCATAATATAATATTTAACAAAGGTATTGTCACCCTTTCTACTCAATTATTAATAGAAAATTTATTCTCAAATTTCGAAACTCAGCATATCAATTAATCGTAAATATTTGTTCTTTTGATATTCTTCAATATGTGTTTTTAGATCTTCATTATGCCCAAAAATCATTTCTAATCTTGAATTTATGTTTATCCATGTATCCTCAGATTCACATAACACAATTCCTAAATTCTTCAATAATCTATCGATCGATAAATTTTGGTCAGAAGTGATTGAACAATTGTTACCCTATAAGAAAAGTGTTCCGGGTTGGCATGGAAAAACAGGTAAAGGCACTGGCTTGAGTGGTACGGAATTGATGGACCGTATACCCGTGTCAAAGTGCACGTGGAAATACTTAGACCGACGTGTTTTTTTGCAGCACTTTACTAAGTCAATTGGCACGGGATATGCACTATACATGTTACCCGACGAAACCTACCCGAAACTAGTTTCGAAAAGTACTAATCCGAAACCCCGAACCCGAAACCCCAAACGTATAATCCGAAACTTATACTGGTTATCCGAAACCTTTTAACGCCTATGATTGGGTGTTTTACGTCACATGACAAGCAGTGAAATCGGTTCAAATTTGATACTTCTATTAAAAAACGTGATTTTTTTTAATTTTTACACATAGTACAGTACGCACGTACAGTACATATAGTACAGTACGCACGTACAGTACGTATAGTACTGTACGCGGCACATCACTACCTATGCCCATGCCTAGATTTTTGTTGGGCACAGGCATGAGCCCAGGTTGCAGACCCCTAATAACAAGAGTATCGGTATAATGAATGATGATCGCCTCATTTTTTCCTGGTGGGTGTGCTTTTTTTTTTATTTATACGGTGTAATATTTTTGCATTTTGTGTTGGTTTTGGTTCAGTATCTTGCATAAGATCACGGCCAAAGTTTTCCACGTTTTTATAGTATCTTAGATACGATACTGATACTGATACTGATACTAATACTAACGATTCGATTCGAAATTTTTTAAAATTTTTGGGTAGTTTACAAATGCGCCGTAATGGCGACCTATTCAATTTTAAAATTACTATATATATTGGTAGACCGAACCTTGATTATATAGCACGATCTACATACTATCTTCATTTAAATTAACTAGTTTCTATAATGTATTTCTCTGTTATAAAACATTTAGGGTTTTTTCTTAATTTGAAATACTCATTCATCTACTGAAAAATATGATGCTTTTATAGTAAAAATGAAATCTTTAAATTCGATATATGTCGTTGAATTTCTAATCATCTTTTCATATGAATGTACTCTAAGCCTACACCTTTATCATTATTAAAATTATTATACCATCTCCACTGAAAGCTACATCATAATTAGAATTACAGCTAATTGCATATTGCGGTTTTATAACACGACTTAAAATTGAATTTTGAATAGAACTATTTTTTAACGAAAAAATAAAACTATAATTGTAATTCTTATAAAAATAACTATTTATTTGTCCCATCCGATTGGATTATATCCACCAAGAATTTCATCAGTGCCTTTAACTTTCTTAACCACAACAAGATGTTTATTAATATTTATGAAACATTGGAAGGCTCGAATAATGATGAATGTTTAACAGAAAATGATGATAAACAAAACAAAGAAAATAATGAAAAAACAGTTAAACAAATTTTTTGAAAAAAGAATTTAAATCTAAAAATTCAAATGACGATGAATACTTAACAGTAAGTGACGAGAATATCAAAGAAAATCGTAAAAAATAGTCAAACAAAAGGGTAAAAAATTAAAAAAAATTTAATTATTTAATTTTTATTAATTTTAAAATTTAATATATTTATTCCAGTTCGAAAAAGAATGAGTACTATTACTCATTCTTTACTTTCCTCTGAATCTGACGACTTTTCCCTTCAAATTAAATTCCATGATAATAGTATCTACCGTACCTTGATTTGGGAGATAATGAACATTCGATTAACTTTGACGAGCATCAGTTTAATTTTCAAGATAATTTTGAATCATTAATAAATGAGTTAAAAATTTGGAAAAGGATTGAATCGACTTTAGAAATGGTGAATGTTGAAGTTAATTATTTTAGAATTCGTCATTATTTAATTCTTTTTGATGAATATATTGCTCTGTTCAAACAAGCTAGAAAGGATACACCAGGAAATATAAAATTTTAGTATCAAAGAAAAAATTGAAAACGGAATACCTCTTGGCCAATATGCAAATCCAGTTTGCAATCGAAAATGGATTAGGTTTCAAATCGAATCAATTTTCAATTTGAAAGCCACTAAATCTGATGTATGTAAATGTAAACATGTATGCATTTCGAATATTTAATTTTTACAATACAATACCCGGTTTTTTATAAAGATTAGCATAAA